GCTATGTGCAGAAACTTGATTTTATCAGAAAGCCTTGGATTCAAATCAGAGTTCTGCCATTTCCCAGCTGTGTGACCTTGGAAAAAGTCATTCACTCCATCTCTCTGAATCTCTCAATCTCTCCGAATCTCAGCTTCTTCCACGACAAACAGAGATCAGAAATAGTTCCTACCACGTAGGACTACTGGGAAGATTACACAAGGTACACTGTGTAAAATGATCACCTGATTAATAAATGGCACCATTAGTGCGTGGTCACTAGGTCACATCACCTTCACAGCACAAGTCACTTCCTTATTCAAAAACCTCTGGTGACTCACCTCTGTCCATGGATTAAGTTTGAATTTTTAGTTCTTCATCCAAAGTTCTCAGGAATCTAGATGTTAATGACCTTTACAGCCTCACCTCCATCTTCTCTTTTCCCTTTTCATTTTAGCCACTCCAGCTTGCTCCCAATTAGACTTGTCTTTGTCCTTACTCTCCTTACATTTATTATTTCACTTGCTCAACAAATATTCTATTCCAGGTACTGTTCTAGGTGCTAGGGGTAGACAGGTAAACAAGATAAATAAAAATCCCTGCCTTCACAGAGGTCATATTTCTAGTTATAGCGGGGCAGACAATTTTTTAAAAAGTAAAAACTGTAGTACATCAGATGGTGATAAATGGTGTGAAGAAAAAAATTAAGCAGGGGAGAGGAATGGGAATACTGTGGGTACAAGCTGCAATTTTAAATAATGTGGTCAGGGTGGATAAGAAGATGATATTTGAATCAAGACTTGAAGGAGGTGAAGGTTTGAAGCACATGAATGTCTGGGGGAAGAGCATTCTAAGCAGAGAGAACAGCAAACTCAAAGGCCCTGAGTCAGGAGAGTGCTGGGAATTTTCAAGGAACATCAAAGTGGCCAGTATGGGGCTTCCCTGGTGGCACAGTGGTTGAGAGTCCGCCTGCCGATGCAGGGGACACGGGGTCGTGCCCTGGTCCGGGAAGATCCCACATGCCGCGGAGCGGCTGGGCCCGTGAGCCGTGGCCGCTGAGCCTGTGCGTCCGGAGCCTGTGCTCCGCAATGGGAGAGGCCACAACAGTGAGAAGCCCGCGTACCGCAAAAAAAAAAAGTGGCCAGTATGGCTGGAGCAGAGGGAATGAGAGGACTTGTAGGTCAAGGTCAGATCAACTATGTAGGGTTTTAAAGGAAACTGTGAGGCTTTAGTGGCTTTTCCTCTGAGTGAAATAAGAAGACACTGGAGAATTCTGAGCAGAAGAAGATTGTGATCTGATTTACATATATATTTTTTATCATGGTAAAATATATACAACATAAAATTTATCACTTTAACTATTTTTAAGTGTACAGTTCAGTGGCATTAAGTACATTCACATTGCTGTGCAGCCATAACCACCATCTATCTCCAGAAATTTTTCACCTTCCCAAACTCAAACTCTGAATCCATTAAACAATAACTCCCCATTCCCATCTCCCCCCAACCCCTGGTAACCACCGTTCTGTTATCTGTCTCTATGAATTTGACTATTTTAGGCATCTCATATAAATAGAATATTACAATATTTGTCCTTCTGTGACTGGCTTATTTTACTTGGTATAATGTCTTCATGGTTCTTACATGTTGTAGCATGTGTCAGAATTTCTTTCCTTTTTAAGGCTAAATAATATTCCAACATATGTATATACCACATTTGTTTATCCATTCATCTGTCAACAAACACTTGGGTTGCTTCCACTTCTTGGCTATTGTGAACAACGCAGCTATGAACATGGGTGTACAAATACCTGTTTGAGTTTCTGCTTTCAATTCTTTTGGGTATATACCTGGAAGTGGAATTTCTGGTCATATGGTAGTTCTGTGTTTAATTTTTTGAGGAATCACCATACTGTTTTCCACAGCAGCAGCACCATTTCACATTCCCACTGTCTTATGCTTTTTAAAAGATTACTTTCAGGATGAATTAAGACTAGACTAATGGGGAGTTTCCCTGGTGGCACAGTGGTTAAGAATCCGCCTGCCAGTGCAGGGGACACAGGTTCGATCCCCGGTCCGGGAAGATCCCACATGCCATGGAGCAACTAAGCCCATGCACCACAACTACTGAGCCCGCGTGCTGCAACTACTGAAGCCTGCGTGCCTAGAGGCCACGCTCCGCAACAAGAGAAGCCGCCGCAATGAGAAGTCCACGCACCAGAACGAACAGTAGCCCCCGCTCGCCACAACTAGAGAAAGCCCACGCACAGCAATGGAGATCTAACACAGCCAAAAGTAGATAAATAAATAAATTTTAATAAAAAGATTACACTAACGAAGGCACGAGTGGGGACGCAGAGATACCAGTTACCCACGTGAGAGATGATGGTGGTTTGGACCTGCATCGTAGCAGTGGAGGTGGTGAGAAGCGACGGGATTCTGGTTTTGTTTTAAAGGTAGCATCAACTAGATTTGCCAAGGAATTAGCTTTGGAGTATGAAAAAAGTGAGGAATCGAATTGTCTCCCAGGTTTTTGGTTTGAGCAACTGGAGGGATAGGGTTGCCATTTACAGCTTTGGGGAAGTTTGCAGGAAGTTGAGGTGGATACATCAGGAATTTGGGGACACGTTAAGTTTAATATGTCTATTATACAACCAAATAGAGATAATGATCCTGGTGTTCAGAGAAGATGTGTGGGTTGGAGAGAAAATTTGAGAGTTTCCGGTGTATAGATGGCAGTTAAAATCATGAGACCTCATCTGGGGAATGATTACAGACATCGAAAAGGAGAGGGCCAAGGGCTGAGCCCTAGGACATTCCAGGGACAAGAAGTGGGTGTGAAAAGAAAACAGCAAAGAACACAGAAGGAGATGTCAGTGAGGTAGGAGGAAAGTCAGAAGAGCAAGATGTCCTGGAAGCCATGTGAAGAAAATGTGTGAAGGAGAAGGAAAGTGATCGATTGTGTTAAATAAGATACTGATGGTTCACGTAAGATAAGAACTGCAGGGAATTCCCTAGCGGTCCAGTGGTTAAGACTCCAAGTTCTCAATGCGAGGGCCTGAGTGCAATCCCTGCTTGGGGAACTAAGATCCCCACAAGCCGGGCACTGCAGACAGAAAGAAAAAAAAAAAAAAGAATTGCAAATTGGCCATTGCTCTTGGAACCCTACCAAAAGTGATTCAAAGGACCGTGGGGAGGCAAAAACCTCAGTGAAGTGAGGTCAAGAGAGAATGGAGACAGTGAGTATAGGGAATTCTTTCAGGAGTTTTGCTGTAAAGGGG